ACTGAAATTACAAATTTAATGTCTATTATTGATAAATATGAAAAAGAAATCGAACGAATTGATGAAATGAGAAAAAAACATGAATATGAATACAATGAAAGGTTGAAAGAAAAAGATAAAATCCACAAACGTGAAAAAGAAGAAAGAGAAAGAACCTATAAATGGGAAACCGATCTCTTACAACAAACCATCAATCGTTTGGAACAAACTATTAATGACTTACAAACCAACTTAGTGAAAATGTTTCTTCTAGATATTAAAAAAATGAATTATTTTTTAGTTTATTGTATTTTTTTTTTTTTTTTGATTGTTTCTAAAAGTTTTTATTTATATTATTATAAAATAAATTTTATATTAAATAAAAAATTATAAATTATATTTTGGCTCATTTTGCAAAAATAACAAAAATGACTGAAAATATCAACACAAAAGTTCTCTTGCTACCTTCTAAAAGTGGTTCAAAACAACTTGACCGCATCCAAGAAGACTTTAATCGTTTAACTGATGAAATTAAACAATTAAAAAAAGAAAACGAAGAATTAAAAAAGAATAATTCAGAAGCTTTGAAAAATGAACTAAAAAAAATCGAACAAAAAGAAGAACAATGTCTAACTTCGTTACGTACCAAATATTATGAAAACTCTACACTTGATCAAAAAATGAATGAACTTGTTGAACTATGTAAAGAATTTGGAGCTGAATTACCAAACTTTAGAAGCAAACGAGTATTTTTATTTTTAATCTTTTTATATAAAATTCTAATTAAAATATTATTTAACAATTTTCTTATTTATTTTTAGAAACCATTTCAAAAAAATTAACGATTAAAACAAATAAAAACTCATCTTTATTTGAATAAATATTTTATACATTAACATAAATATAAAATAAAATATAAAAAAACAATTTTTTATCTTTCGTCTTCGGAGTTTGTTTGTAATTTTTTGATTTCCTGTTAATTAAATAAATAAATCAATAAATATATAATTAAATATATTAGTAATAATTGAAGATAATTATACCGCTTCTAATTCTTTAATTTTATTTTTTAATTGAGTGTTTGTTTCGTCTTTTTCTTTTTCGAGTTGTTTT